CCCAGCCAAATTCAAACGCAAGCGGCTCGCGCGGCCGCGCCCCCTCATTGGCTGGCGCCGCTGTGACGTTTCCGGCGCGACGGCGGTTGCTGCCAGGGTTCTCCTCGTCCCGCCTCGGCGCGCGGGTGCTGTGGGGGAGGGGCAGGTGCCTCTGGCCCGGGGTGGGTACTACGACTCCGCCGAGCTGAGGAGGGCAGTGGGGGGAGGCGCGCGTGTGCGTAGGGGGCGGGCGGCGCTGGCGGCGGCCTGGTGTGCAGTGAGTAGCGGCACCTCGGTGCAGCTGCGGGCTTGGGGTGGCAGGACTGCGCAGCCCCTTAGACCTCGGCCGATAAGGAGCTCCCCCCATCTTCCCGCGTGCGTTGCAGCCACGAGTCCCGCAGGGCTCCCCGTCTCGGCGCTGGTGTGCTCCTCCCCCACGAGGCCTACCAGCACTCCCTGCTGCTGCTGTGGCGCCCGCTCTCTCTCCTCCTCCTCTGCTGCTCCCGAGGTGCTTCTACCCCCACAACGTGTACAGTGCAGGGGCCCGTAGCTTTGTGCTGCCCCACCTTTTAAGACACAAGCCACCAAAATGGGGTGCTGCCTTGGAGCTCATGATAAGGCCCCCTCCCCCTTCCACCGGAGGGACCAGCAGGCAGCCTCAGCAGGGACAGTGGCAATGGGTACCAGGTGCATATGCAGCCCCTGAGAGTGCTGGAGCACTCCCTGACAGGTTGCGCTCCCCGCTTAGGCGACAGGCACCAGCTAGTGGGAGTACCAGATAAAGTGCTGTTGGCCACTTCCCGGGCGATGGGCTGTGAAGGGACTCCCCTCCCGGTCGGTAAGATTGGCTGGGGGGGAGCACATGCCCCCGCTAAGGTGGCACCAGTTGCCCATGAGCAGGGACGTACTGCCCTGCTTCCCTCCTCCAAACCAGGTTGCTTCCAAGGAGGCCACTTCCTGCTGCTGATTTGTAGCCTGTGTGGACACTACATGTGTCCTATATAGGCCTATGCAGCTTGCCACAGATCCTGTGATGCCACGTGCTGAAGCGTGTAGTCACTGTTGTCAGCCCTTATCTCTTTGTGGTGGCAGTGGCCTGGTCGCAGAGCTGGTTAGTTCAGGGCCCTCATCTGCTGCAGGCTTTCAAATTGTATTTGGAAGAAAGGGCTCTTCACCCCATCATTTGAGGCCCAGTGCTGTACCTTGTGCTCACCTGGTCTGCCATTACAGGTGGCAGAAGGAGGCAGAGTTGAGAGAGTTGTTGGTCATCTTTAATATGAGTAATGTTTGCATTTATTTTTACCATCCATATTATAAATGGTTTCTGGAGATGAGGAAAATACCTGGCCTAAAAGAACATGCCTCATGCATTTGTCTTTAAAGCTTGGAATTTTTTTTTTAAACTTAGGGCCTCAATTATTATGAGGGGATCCCACCTAAAATGATGATTGAGTATTATTGTTACAGGTGCAGGCAACATAGGAACCTATCTGAACAAATTTAGGTAAACTAAGTAGATAAATTGGCTTATGAAGGCATATAGTCCTAATGCTAAGAGCAGAAATCAGGACAGCATTGCGTCATGCATCTTCATGTCTGGGTTTTCATTTTTCTTGTATGGCTTATGAAATATGGGAGCAGAAGTGGTATTTACCTAGAAAATAAAGGTAAAATTAAGCCCTCGTTTTCTAAACTTCAATTCATGCTTTTATGAAAGGAACGGATTAGTGCAAAAAATACAGTATTCCAATACAAGGTTACAGAAGTCATGCAAGCATGTAGTAGCTGCCTAGTCTGAGAAGCAGTTCATCCCATTTTTAAGCAGTAAGCAAAGACATACCAGAGCAGATAAACTATATGATTTTTCAGAGGACTATAGTATTGCATCAGGCCAACTATGAAATACTTTTCATGAGTCATAGTTTTCATTCCTGATCCCTGGTATAATCAGCTTATGTCTCGAAGCAAGTGATTTGATGATGTGATTTTTATCATGCGCTGGTACAAATATGTTTATTGATTTGTAACATTATCTTATTCTAGCACCATTTCAAATCCAATCACAATATTTCAATCATCGCTTTTCTGCTTTAACTGGTCAAAGGAAAAACAACATTCATTGTGTTATGGTATGATATTAACATGTTTGCCATCGTCTATGACAAAACGAGGGCACTGCGCTGAAAATAAATGTAACCTTTTTTCACTGGTGTACTTTATGCTCACATCTGATTATACTGTTATTTGTACTACATAGATTTTCATTTTAAAGTTGAGGTCTTTGGTTCATTATAATACAGTTGGAGTTTGGGGTAAAGAGGAAAAAAAGCTCTTACTGGATTTGCATAAGAGTGAGGGCATTGGAGAAATACTGAAAGGAGATCAACACTGAAGTTGTTTATGGCAACTTTGTAAATTAATTTCTGCCAGGGAAATGTTTACGTGGAGCCTTGTATCCTTGGATACAAAGATTTCGTATTTCTCATTTCTTTGCAAACCTCGGGTGCCTATAGACGTGCTATGAGGCTGCTCCAACGTGCTGTAATTACAGCACGTTGGAGCAGACTCAATCGAGTCTGCACGAGCGTGGTGCTCACTACATGACATCAGCCCCCTCACGCCCATGATGTGTTAGTACATGACAATTAACTTCTTTAACCTAGTCTTGGAATACTGTATTTTTGCGCTAATCTGTTCCTTTAAAAAAAGAATGAATTGAAATTTAGAAAATGAGGGCTTCATTTTTCATTTATTTTCTAGGTAAATACCTCCTCTGCTCCCAGCCTTCACATTTTGTGTATCAGTATTCCTGCGTTTCAAAATGGTGGCAGGGGTGCTTGAGCTAAAGTTAGTTGAACAAGCTTTACTTCAAGCGCCCCTGCTGCCATTTTGAAGTGCGGGGATGCTGATGCATGAGATGCTGTTGCACTTGAATTAAAGCACCCCACACCCAGAGCATGTGTAAAAGTGCCCCTTATTCTTAGAATACTCATTCTAAAATATTTTCTAATACTTATTATTTGTTTAGGTTGACCTGTCTACAATATGCTGTTGCCTCAGTACTTGCTCCATGGCTACAAACAACTGTTTCTGTGCAGCTTAAAATCAGGCTCAATAAACAAATGTGTTTGGGCCAGAAATGCAGAGTCTTCAACTGTTGTGCCTAATGGACTTACAGATCAAACCGCACATAAGAATGAAGTTCATGCTAATATAAATGAAAGTGCAGAAGATGAGGACTACAGAAGATTGCACATCCCAGTGATGGTGAAGGAAGTTATTGACTGTTTTTCACCTCAACCAGGGCAGGTGAGTTAAAATGGTTGTTTACTGTAGGATCATTTTTCCCAAATTTGCATTTTTGCTTAGTACCATTTTGTGAAAACTGTTTATTTTGTAGTTTAAAATAATTAGACTTGTTTTTTATTTTACAGTAAATATTTTGGAGGTGGCAAACCCATGGCACTTTTGTCACAAGTGGTAGGGGCCGTCTGTGTGTGGCATGGTGTGGGCAACCCCTGTATGTGGCACGCAGCATATCATGATACTTGAACAAGCAGTATGTTTCAAATAAGAAACTTTTACATTTTATCATTTGTGTATGTTTAAGACTGACCATAAACAATAGGCTGAGACACTCAGAGACATGGATACATATACTGCAGAACAGAGTTTAATGCAGTGATGTGGAATTAGAAGTGTGAAGTAAATGTTTCCCAGGCACAGTATAGTTAAGTTTATCTCAGCATATTATTTTATAGCATAGAAGTAGCTTCTACTTTTGGTTCCTGGAAAATATCTTCACCTTTATTATAGCTTCTGTGATGGTGCTTGCATATAAATTGGGTAAAAATTAACCCAATAAATACTACTGTATATTGCTTTTGATTTGTGTGATTTTAAAATATTATTAAGTTCTTTGTGAAACCTGGTATACTCTCTGATTTGCTGATAGCATCCTACAGGTGCTTAAGTATGTGAGATATTGCTAATATCAGAAATTCGTAGATGTCTCAGAATGGTGCAGCTGGGGTATTTTTATCAAACAAGTGGAAATTTTTCAGGAGGGTGGGAGGTCTTTTTGGAGGATCAAAAAACAAAAGCCAAGAAATATATATCATGTTTTTGTTTGGGAGGACATTTAAAGTCTGATTAGTCAGGGGTATTCCATACCTAAACCCAGGCTTAACTGAAATTTCTTTTTTGCTTTGTGGTTCTGTGTTTCAAAATATCATAATAAAATACAAAGGAAATCCTTCAAAAAGATTTGTTGGGTCATTAAAGTAAGCTGTTACTGCTGCTGGTCTGAATTCAATAGAAGAGCCACAAAATCCCACCTGCTTCACCTTGGGCTTTACCCTTAACTGATAACTATGAACAGCACTTATGTCATTTTTTTAAAGCAGTGGCAAATACACCATTGATTGGGAGTATCAAAGAATACTGCATGTTTTAAATTGCTTGGAGCTTGTAGTTTTAGTTTGTTTGCAAATAAATGTGATGGGCACAGTGAATCAGATGGGTTGAGCTAGTATAAGGATCAACTATGACATGTTAAATTTAAATTAAGATTTAGGCTTTGTGTCTCATTGAAATGTTGGAACTATGTTTAGTCCTATGATTTCAGTTGCCTTGGCTATAAAATGGGGACAGCATCACCATTATTTAAATTCTTAAGATTATCTTTGTAACCAGAAAGTTAATATTTGTGTCTTCCCCAGGAAACTTTAAAAATAATTCAAAATTCCATAATCTTTATAATTTATGCCCCCGGGGGATTTCTCTTGAGCATAGTTACAGTCTTCCTAAGACGAAAGTTGATGTCAACCTTGTATTTCCTTAAGTACCACAAATATAAGAAGTTGAGTAACATGCAGAAAATTCAGATGGAAAGGCATAACTTTTTAGTTAGCAGATCTTTTAGGTTTTTTTATATTGCTTTCAAACAACACATTTTTAATCCAATAATTCAGATACAACTGAAAATCAAAATAGAAGATTCAAGTAGTAAAACCAAAGAAATGAAAAGGAAGTTCCAGGGTGTTAATGCTGATGAGAGAAAAAAAGATGCATTTACCCTCTCATTATACTTCTATTGGTTTTCTTATATCTGGAATCTTTTTATTATAGATTTCAGTGACAGTACTTTCCAGTAACCTTCATGAGTTGTATTTTAGTGCTTTAGATCCTGTTTCTAACAAGTCCCAATGGCGGTACTTTCATGGAAGTACATAGTTCAAATGAGTTTCTACGTATCTAGCTCATTTTCCCTTCAGTGAAAAGTCTGTTGCAGTAAATACACATACAGGTAATTTTCTCTTTTAAATTCACTATGTTGACTGAACTGCATTGTAGGGTTTTTTTTCAGTCCACTAATGTTCTGTATGCATACTTCTGCAATTGCTTGGACAACTTCAGTGTTCTCAGTTCTTTAATCTTCAGTAGTAATAAAGAATCAAATGTAACTGCTCAGACTGAATGCCTCTATTTCACCCACAAGCTATTTTTAAATCTTTCTAGTTCTCATTCTGTTTTTTCCTAACTTAAGCTGTGTATTGGCCATTTAAAAATTATTCTCTTTAGAACATTGTAATGTTTCAAAGATGTTGCATATCTATAAGAAGCTAAGATTTATACTGTATGAGTACAAACAATATTTGTGATGTGCAATATCAAGAAGAGAAGAGGAGATGAACATACCTGGTCCAGAGGTACTAAGAAACAATAAATTATGGCTTGATGACACCCATACATTCTCTTAAATATGATAGGAAAACAGATTATTTTGGTGATATCTTTTATTAGACCAATTGTATAGTTGGGAGAGATGTTAGACAAGTGTGTGCTTGTCCTATTGTAGGTCTGGGGAAAGAGCAGGTATGGTCTAAGTTGGGGAGTAAGCAAACTTTGGCTGCAGGCCAGAATTACCCACTGGGTTGGTGGGCTTTAGGACCCAGCCACTGCTTGCCTCCCTGGCCACATGGGGAAAGTGCTTGAAACCAGCTTTTGTCCCTGTGGTAGAGCTGGAAGAGCACCAGTGGAAAGCGCCTTGTGCTGCCGACTGCCTCTGAAGCCCAAGTCCAAGGGCCATATCCAACCCACGGTCCATAGATTGCCCACCCGTAGTAAGTTAAAAATCAATTAAAGCAATAGTTTGTTTTTTAACTCCCTATGTAAAAGAAAACAGGTGCTTAGAGGGTGGAGAGCTACAAACTAAGATCGAACAATTCTCCAACCCTCTTAACTGTGATGGGACTCTGATATAGAATGCAGATTTGTAACATGTTTTTTAAAATGTTTGTTTGATCTATGATAGTGGAGTACATTGTTGGGTTTTTAGAACAGTTTTCTATAAGTCATGAACCAGATTTAGGTGAAGGAGAAAAGCTCCCTGTTCCCCTTCCCATTTGTGAATGATAGAATTAATATCAGATACCAATTTCATCTCATTAAGTATACTTTATATTAAATAACTTAACCCTGCAACCTTCACCTCCTCCCAACAGAACCTACTCTGAAAACTCCCCCAACAATTTGGATCATTTTGTCTGTCTATTTTTATAATTCTATTACTGTTTCCACTTCCACTTCCAAGCCCTCAGTGAAAGGGCAGATGTTGTATGAAGCACAGCAAACAACCATAGTATGGGGGAGAATCTACCTGGTAGATAATTCTGGGATATATCCAATTTTGTCATGATGTATCTCCACCCTTCCTTCACTCTTCTGTCATTCTGCGGCTCTTAAGTATATAGTTATTCAGCTCATTTCTTGAATCCACATCTTTGTTTGGGGAAAAAAAAGTATGCCAAGGAAACTAATGGTTTCAGGGCCACAGGACTGAATGGAAGGGTTGGACCCGGCTAGGAGTGGGGGAAGGACCCTGCTGCACACAGCGGGGAGGACTGGCTTCTCTGGCCCCTGCCAGGCTCTGCCTCTAGTGGCCAGGGCACAGACCCTTGGGCACTGTGGGTTGAGTTATGCTGGGCTGGGCCAGACAGCTCAGCTCTGCCTACCCTGCCCTGACCCAATCATGTCTGCGGCATTCAGTGCCACGCAACACTGCAGCAGCTGCTTCACTCCAGCCTATCCTGGCCTGACGGTTAGGGGATGGGGGTAGAGATGTGAAAGCCTGGAAAAAAAAACAGAGCAATTTGGGAAAAAAACATGGGTTTCTTTCCGTTTTTTGCGAGGACTTTTTTTTTTTCCTGAAAAATTGGAAAAATTGAAAATTTTTGGAAAAATTAAAAAACCCTCTTATGAAATATTTTCTTTTAGAATGATGAATAGAATGTTTAAGACAAGGTGTTCATATATTGCTACCCTTTACTTGCCCAAAATGTTTTCTAATAACTATGGAATAGAAAGACTTTTATGTATGACTGTCTGTAGACAGTCTTGTCCAACATACAGACAAGCCAACATACATACAAGCCTGCTGTAGCAGGCTTGTCCAACATACAGGCTGCCATGCGGTCCACCAGGCCGTTTTCTGTGGCCCACGGTGCTGAGACGGGAAACAAAGGTAAATACGGTTTACTTTAGTTCCCACCCCTTGTCCCTCCCGTAGCCCCTCAGCAGCTTCCTAATGGCTGCTGAAGGGCTGGGGAAGGGACAAGGTTCCCACACGCACCGCGTCA